TTACTCTTAAAATCTAGTGCGTCCAGAATCAGGGGTACCCTGAGTTCTCATAATTCCTGCAGCCCGGTCATCCCAAAGCACTTGTCAAAACGCGGACTTAACCCTGAGCCTAAACCCCTAAACTGCCGTTTTCAGGCGGCGCACTACTTGTGGCCGCCTGACAACGGTCACCATGCCAACCCAATGGGAGTAGGTCACGCATGCGATGGCTGCTGTCCTGTTTGGGTCTTCCTGCACTGATAGAAGTTCCTCCGGGTGTGCCAGCCCATGACAGAGGCTTACCATACCATCTATAAACATTTCTGGTTGGGAGTTCATTGTGATTCTGGCTGTGATCGTCGTCCTCACTGCGACGTTAAATAATTCCTGAAGAGATGGGGGCGCTCTATAAATTCCTCCTGATCAGCCAGATCACATGGACAGGAAGGCTCATCGCCGTACGAGGGTAAATAAGAGTGGTTGGGCTGGCTTGCTCGGTGACAACTTGGGCACAGGGGTGGGCCGACATGCACACGAAGACACTGCCTGCTAAATGATGCTGTTCGAATGGTTGGATTGAGGGGAAGGGTAGGTTCCAATTGGTGCTCAACTGTAAACACAACAATACCTATCAATCATACATCTGCTACATTGTCTTTTTGTACTTTGATTAGTTGGTTGACGGACTGCTAACCTCACAAACGGATTAGTTTAGGACTGTTGTATGCTACCATAGCCAGTTCTAACTAACGCTGCTGTAAGTGAACCATTCAGGGTGCATCTAGACAATGTAGACAATCTGTGTGAATGTTGAAGACATGCCACTTGATTCGGTGTAGTAGGATACTCGCCGGACACAATTATTGCTAGAAAATTAGGTGTCGGTCATGTACATGCTGTGATAGGATTCCACTAGGGGATTCTAGTGCAGAAACTATCTGCCTAACTAATGAGTGGATCAGAACTTGTTGATGATAGAGTAGACACTAGAAGATTAACACGTGCACAGGCACTAAGGGTACCGCACGTGTTCAGGACCTTGGACGAGGAAGAATTAAGACAACTTCGCGCCGAACGCAGAGCCCGTGCTCTCGCAGCATCGAGAGCAACAGCAAACGCCGCAGCTAGGGAAAAGGTTGCCGCAGCAGTTAGGGCAGCAGCCATGACTAACTCAGCAGCATCCTCTGCGGCTTTGTCAGGGACTACTGCGATGAGTGTGGGAATGCCAACTAGTTCCATGAGTTCCTCGGGCACTTCTGGGTCTACAGGTTCTAGAGGATCTTTTAGTCAAATGGCAGGCTCGCAGTTCAGCCCCATGACCGCACGAGAGCGGGAGCTCAGAGAGATCCAACAGGTCGAGAGGCTCCGCCAACAATTAGAGGAGGATCTGAAAAAAGCAACCGATGGAGAAAAAGAGATAAAAAGTAGAGCAGCCAGACTTGATACGTAAGAGGCTGACAAGGCTGCGTTAGAGGGATTGGACGAATCAAGTTTGTCTGACCCCCTGAAAGTGTTGAGGGACAACATGTTGTCGCTGCATGCGCATGTGGACAACAGGATGGACTTCATGCAAAGCACTTTAGACCAGATTCTGGATGCATTGACAAAGCCAGGATTCCGGCCACCAGCACAATCGTCGTTGCCGTTAACGGCGATGTCTGACCCCTTTGTCGTACAAGCTGGCACACAGCCGAGTGGTACGTCTGCAGCAGCAACACAGACTGTTGCATCTTCTTCTTCGGGTCCAGTGGTGATTGCTACATCACCACAACAACCTGTTCAGCAATTTGGACAGCGGAAAGGTCAATGGTACCCCAAGACCCCAATGAAACCGCCTCTTGCCTTCTCAGGCGAGAGAAAGGACGAGGAACTCAACACATGGTTGAGGACGGTCCCGGTTTGGGTGAAGGCCAAAAGGACCTTGCCAGAGGATGAGGTGGTAACTGCGGCATCTTACCTAGAGGGTAAAGCAGCCAAATGGTTAGACGGGGTAGTTTTGAAAGCCGGGTACTGGCGACGCATGGCAGATTGGGCTTAGTCTTTGACTTTAGACCAATTCATGGAGATGGTAGAAGCTCGATGGCATAACCCACAGGAGGCTCAAAGGGCCACTGATGCCATTAACAAACTTGACCAACGCAAGTTCGGGTCAGTTAGGGAGCTTACGACTACCGTCGAGAGCCAGATCCTTGTCCCAGGCATCAACTACAGTGACCAGTTCCTCTTGACCACGTTTGTTAGATGTCTACCTGAGAACGTGAGGAACTTACTAGCCAGTGAGGCACGCACTGAGTACCACTCATTTGAGACATTGTTTAGGAAAGCCTTAGACTTAGAGGCCAGCCTAGGCAATGCTCAACCCACCTCAGGGAATGACTCAAAGAAGAAGAAGAGTCCTCAAGAGTGGAAGAAGAAGGGGGCGAAGTTGATGATGGTTGAGTCTGATGAGACTCAAACTAAGATCGATGAGCTCTCTAACCTGATGGACTACTCAGAGTATGGCGGCGAGGAGGTAGTTGAGGGTAGCACCCTCGCCGCGATAGTAAAGACTCAGGCAGGTGGCCGAGGGAAGGGTCAACCTAGGAGTCAAGGGAAGGCCGCCTCCAATCAGTCCAAACAGGCTGAGTGGGTCAAGGCACGTCTTGACCACGACGTGTGGCGTGACCGCCGATCGCGTGGCGCTTGCATCAACTGCGGTGAATACGGACACACGCAATGGAAGTGCCCGAACGCTAAGGTTATGCAAAAGGTTGCACCAAAGGTTGGGGCAACTATTTCCCAGGCTTCTAGCTCGGGAAACGCGTAGGGCCAGTGAAAGTGATAGCGGCTTCTACTCAAGATGAAGTGGGAATGATACCCTCCTCACTTCATGACAAGGCCGAAGCTAATGACTCCTTAGCTACCCCGCAGACGCATCTAGACCAAACTATGATCTGTACGTTAGATGTGTCTGAGGCCTTAAAAGAGTTAGAAGGCGAGAGTGGTCAAACAAGGACCCTGGTGAGTCTTGGACGGCGCTAAAGAAGGGTTCTAGAGGGGAACATTTCATTGTGGAAGTGGATGTAGGAGGCCGTAAATGTGGAGCCTTCATAGACAACGGATCCACGCGAAATTACATAAGTCGCGATTGTTTGGAAAGGCTGCACCTACAGGACCGGGTACGACACCTTAGTAGACCAGTAGCATCTACTTTGGCCAACAAGGAGCGCATGATAGTGACAGACTACATCAAGGACGTAGTCTGTACCTTCTCTTATGGAGCAGGCAAGCTTAACCATAAGATCTTGTTCTTGGTTAGTGATGACTTACCTTTCGAAATGCTGTTAGGTATGTACTACCTCGATATTGCTAAGCCCCAGTTTGACTGGGATAAGAAGGTGCTCAAACAAAAGTTGCCCGATGGCCGAACTGTCAGAATGACTAAGTTCAAGGCCATCAGTATTGTAGATACATATGGCTGCTTGTGTGCATCAGCATTCTACAATTATTACAAACAAAACCAAGAGGAGGGTATGTACCTTGTTTATGTCTCTGAGAAGGGGGAGGCCGTTAAAACACCCCAGAGATAGAACGCGTCGTTGCTAAGTTCCCTGATCTGTTCGAGGAGCCCACAGGAGTTGTTGATAGGGAAGTCGTCCACGCTATAGAAATCATTCTAGGGAGTAAGACCCCAAAGGGGAGGATCTATAGGATGGCACCTGCTGAGTTAGGTGAACTTCGGAAGCAGCTCAAGGAGATGACAGAGAAGGGATGGATTCGGCATAGTACTTCCCCTTAAGGATCACCCGTACTATTTGTACCCAAAAAGGGGGTACTTTGAGGATGTGCATTGACTATAGAGGCCTTAATGCCATCACAGTGAAAAACGCAGAGCCTCTTCCTCGCATAGACGACCTATTGGATAGGGTGCAGGGATGCAAGTACTATACGAAGATAGACTTGAAATCCGGATATCATCAGATCGCAATAAGACCTGAGGACCAACACAAGACAACTTTTCAGACTAAATATGATCTGTATGAGTTTGTAGTGATGCCTTTCGGTCTTTTCAATAGGCTGGGTACATTCCAGCACGCTATGAATCGGATCTTCCATGACCATTTAGATAAGTTTGTCGTAGTTTATCTAAACGACCTTCTGATCTTTAGTAAGTCTGCTGAGGAGCACGCACAACATGTTGAGACGGTTCTCTCACTCCTACGACAACACAAGTGTAAGATCAACCTAGAGAAGTGTGAATTCGGTCGCACTAAGATACTATACTTGGGTCATGAAGTATCCGCGGAAGGGATTAGGCCGGAAGATGCGAAGGTGGCTAGTATTYGAGACTGGCCACGACCTCAGACAGTCACTGAGGTCAGATCATTCTTAGGAATGTGCGGCTACTATAGGAACTTYGTTAAGAACTATTTTACKGTCGCCTCTCCTTTGACCGATCTAACTCGACTTGACACACCGTGGGAYTGGAGTGATGAGWGCGAGGGTGCTTTCAAGAGATTGAAGCATGMACTCATGAATCATGAAGTTCTCATGGTTCCCGATCCGGAGAAGCCATTCATAGTGACCACTGACGCAAGCCAATACGGCATTGGCGCGGTGCTGGCTCAACAGGATGGGAAAAAGTTGAGACCGATTGAGTACATGAGTAATAAGATGCCATCGAAGAAGTTGGTTAAGTCCACCTACGAAAGGGAACTCTATGCTCTCTAYAAGGCACTTGTCCATTGGAGACACTTCCTTTTGGGAAGGTTCTTCTATCTGAGGACTGATCATTWGACCCTCAAATGGATCAAGACTCAACCGGCTCTTTCTGATGCACTCAAGCGATGGATTGAGGTCATAGACCAATATGACTTCAAGCTTGAGTACCTAAAGGGAGAGTACAAYAAGTTTGCGGACGCGCTATCCCGTAGAGCAGACTACCTAGGTGCGCTAGTTTCTAACTTTGGCGTATCTAATGAAGTAACTCAATCATTGGTGGGAGCCTATCAGGAAGACCCTGTCACGATGGACATCATCCGCAGACTTCAGGCAAAAGACAAGGCCACAGAAAGTGAGTTTGTGATGGTGGACGGGCTAATCTATCTTGATAAGGCCGGAGTAAAGAGATTGGTAGTTCCATCTAGTGAACAGTTGCGTAGTTTATTTTTTGGCGAATGTCATGACGCAACAGGGCACTTTGGCTACGAGAAGACGAGTGCWAACTTAGTACAGCGATTTTGGTGGCCCAGAATGCTAGATGACGCAAAGAAGTATGTTGAGACTTGTCAGGTCTGTCAGCGGGACAAGCCGCGAACTCAAGCACCGCTTGGGTTATTGAAGCCTTTACCCATTCCTGATGGTCCAGGATTGAGTGTTTCCATGGATTTCATGGACACCCTAGTGACCACCAAGAGTGGTAAGAGGCACATTTTCGTCAGCATTGACAGATTCACCAAGTACGCTAGACTAATACCCATGCGAGAGATAGCCAAGACAGATTATGTCATCAAGTTGTTCAAGGACAACTGGGTAAGGGACTTTGGTTTACYAAAGACCATCATTAGTGATCGAGACGTCCGCTTGACAAGTGAACTGTGGAAGAAGACTGCAGAACAGATGGGCAGTCAACTTCAAATGACTTCAGGGAATCATCCCGAAGCCAACGGACAAGCCGAACAAATGAATAGAGTGGTACAGCACTTGCTGCGGCATTACATCAAGCCCAGCCAAGATGATTGGGATGAGCAGTTGCCTCTCATCGCCAGCTTGTACAACAATGCTATTCATAGTAGTACCGACGTTAGTCCTAACCAGTTGCACTTGGGATGGAAGCCTAGATCAGCACTAGACTTCCTCCTACCTGAAAACCGACCTGCTGCAACTCCAGGCACACGTTAATAAGGTGTGCAATATGAGAAGTTGTTGCGCGAGGCTGTTGAACATATGAAGAAAGCTCAGCAAGCCATGATTGCTTCTGAGAATCAACATCGCAGACAGTCCACATTTCAGGTGGGGGAACGTGTCTGGGTCAAGGCTAGTGAGTTAGGACAGGAGTTCGGAATATCTCGTAAACTAATGCCTCATTACTTTGGTCCCTAAGAAGTCTTGGATGTAGTGGGAGATGAAATGGATGGTCCTACGTACGTCATTCGYGTCCCTGGTCATCTACGCACTCACCCAATTTTTCATGCCTCAAAGCTTGCACCTTTTGCTGAGACAGATCAATTCCCTTCCAGGAGATCGATGCTGCCCCCAACCATGGATGGTCAAGTTGACATCGACGACATTGTGGATCACAGGGACATGCCTGTTCCAAAGCCGCTGGACCGAGGAAGACCTCCCAAGCCCAAGAGAGAGTACCGCGTCAGATTCAGGCATCATACGGATCCAAA